TGAGCCGAGATTATGCCATTGCATTCCAGCCTGTAGTGAGGCTCTGTCTCCAAAAAAAAAAAAAAAAAAAAAAAAAATTGTAGTCTGTCATGAGAGTAAAAAAAAAAAAGGTGGTGATAAAAATTATATTAAAATTGGTTAATTATTATTTCAAAATGTAAGAAATTATGTTCTATATTGTTCTTCATATTTTATTTAGGTTTTAGGTCATTTTTTTCTTAACTATAATTTGACTAATTATAAACCCAAGGGAGGCTAGTGAATTTATTTATAGTATGGGGTTTTAACTATGAATCATGAACATTGCAGATAGAGAAAGGAGATAATTAAATAAAAAGTTACAGTACGCTTGCTTACCGAATTGCCAACTACTTGAGGGTGGAGTTTCTTCACAGAGCTGGATTAGAATCCTCTCCAGTTTTTAATTAATCTATTGTCTACAAATCTGGGTTAGACAATATAAGTACTCTCTGCTTTAAAGTTTGACCAGAGGCCACTCCAAGTATTACACTTCTGGCTTCATTTCCCAGTGACTCCACCCTAGTTCCTGTTAGGCCTTTAGATCTAAAAATGTTTGCCAAAATACACTCAATTCCAAGCCTTATTCTCTAAAAATACCTCTTCAGAACCACATTCTCCCCAGAGTGGTACTTTCTGATTGGAGTGGCCTAAAGGAAAAATTGTTGGCGTATTCCAAAATCATGGAATATTCAAAAGTGAGCAAAAAATGTTTGAGTTAAATGAAACATTTAATTTTCTTGAAGTAATAAAAGTACCTCTCAAGAAGGACATGGGATTTTTTGTTTAAATTAACCAATTAATTTGTTTTCCTTAGTACCCATGCCCATTTACTGGTGTAGCATGAATTTACCTTTCTTGGAATTACTCATCTGTGACTGCTGGGCATGTTGGTAATAACCAGGATGTTCAGTATTCTGTTCAGTTACCTATTCTCCTTGCCCCTTCTGATCTAGAATCATCTGTCAAATTTGTGGCATTTGCTATGCTAGGTGCAATGGCACACAGCTGTATTCCCAGCTGCTTGGGAGACTGAGGCAGGAGGATGGCTTGAGCTTAGGATTTTGAGGCTGTAGTGAGCACTGTGAATAGCCACTGCTCTCCAGCTAGGACAACATAGTGACACACCATCATTAAAAAAAGTTGACATTTGCTCTTTATACACCCTAATATTTACTAGGGCCCATTATGAAATAGGTATTATGTTAGACATTGGAAATAAATAGATTAAAAATTATGCTTACCATCCATTGAATATGTTGACATCTGAACATGGTGTTTTATAATGGAGGTTTATATACAGTGCTGGGAAAGTGGGGGCGGGGGAATGTCCAACTTCCCTGGGGAAATCATGGAAAGCCTGAACTAATTCTTTTAAGGAGTAGGAATTTATCAGATGGGCAAGACATGAGGGAGAACTTTCAAAATAGATGTGTCATTGTTGATATGTAAATCTTATGCCAAATCAGGCTTAGTATTCTTGTCACAAGACCTGACAAATGTATTGTCTTTGTGTTTTAGTGTTATTATAGCAATACAATATATCATCAGTGGTACTTCCAAGGCCTTATATCACTAATGGCATTGTTTTTGTTTTTGAGACAGTCTCACTGTGTCCCAGGCTGTAGTGCAGTAGCGCAATCTTGGCTTACTGCAACCTTCGCTTCCTAGGTTCAAGTGATTTTCCTGCCTCGGCCTCTTGAGTAGCTGGGATTACAGGAATGCACAATGATGTCCAGCTAGTTTTATTTTTGTATTTTCAGTGGAGACTGGGTTTTGCCATGTTGGCCAGGTTGGTCTCAAACTCCTGACCTCAAGTGATCTGCCTGCCTAGGCCTCTGAAAGTGCTGGGATTACAGGTGTCAGTCACCATGCCTGGCTCACTACTGGCGTTGTTCTTAAAGAAAGACATAACAATAAAATTAACAATTCTACTTTTTTTTTTTGTATTCTAACTTACTGTTAATAATAAATATAATAAATATAGTATAATGTCTTTTTAGGGAAGAGTGAGCTTTTGGGTTTTATCGTGATGGTTCCAAAGTCCTTTGACAGTGGTTGGAGGAATATGGTACATAGAAGGTTGATTATACCTCTCCTAATTCAGCCTCTTTCTGTTAGAAGTCACATCTGTTGCAGTCTTGTCAAATCACTTGGATGCATGAACATTTTCCGGTAATAGGGAATTCACTTCTCCTAAGGAAACCTCTTGGTTCTGAAATTGCCTGCCTTAATGTTAACGCTCTTGATTAAAGTAAATTGTAAATAAAGTTATAGAGCAAAACTTTAAAAAGGTATGTAATCTTCAGTGTCCATTTTAATATATAAATGTAAGTTTTAAGGTATTAAATCTTTTTAATCTCTTCCTCCTACCAGGGTCTTTTTTACTGAGTCAAATACTTTGAACTGTTTCTTTTGTGTGTGTGAGACAATGTTCATTTGAATTATCTCCGCTGTCTAAAGTATGCTTCAATGTTTAGATTATGTCTTTTAGGTAAAAAGTACATACTTTCAGTTATTTTCACATGAATGTCTTCTGTTTAGATATCTTACCATGGATGAAACACGAAAATTGTTACTTTTGTTGGAATCTGATCCCAAGGTTTATTCTTTACCATTAGTGGGAATGTAAGTATTACATTATTTATGAAAGCCTTATCAGCCAAATATTCAAATGTATATGATAAGCATATGTCTCACTTGTACTATGCATATTTAGATCATTTTATAAAGCCACAAAGGCAAGTAGTTGTCAGGTTTGTTTTTTTTGTTTTTTTGGGTTTTTTTGAGATGGAGTCTTGCTCTGTTGCCAGGCTGGAGTGCAGTGGCACAATCTCAGTTCACTGTATCCTCTGCCTCCCAGGTTCAAGCAATTCTCCTGCCTCAGCCTCCCAAGTAGCTAGGACTACGGGCGAGCGCCATTACGCTCAGATAATTTTTGTATTTTTAGTAGAAACAGGATTTCACCATATTGGCCAGGATGGTCTCGATCTCCTGACCTTGTGATCCCCCTGCCTCGGCCTCCCAAAGTGCTGGGACTACGGGTGTGAGCCACTGTGCCTGGCCAAGTTTTCTTATTTTACTAGTAGAATCAGCTAAAAGAAGATTTTGCACAATCTCTCTCTTTTTTTTTTTTTTGAGATGGAGTCTCTGTTGCCCAGACTGGAGTGCAGTGGCAACATATCAGCTCACTACAACCTCTGTCCCCCGGGTTTAAGTGATTCTCGTGCCTCAGCCTCCCAAGTAGCTGGGATTACAAGCATGCACTACCATGTCTGGCTAATTTTTGTGTTTTTAGTAGAGATGGGGTTTTACCATGTTGGCCAGGCTGGTCTCAAACTCCTGGCCTCAAATATCCACCCACCTCAGCCTCCCAAAGTGTTGGGATTACAGGCGTGAGCCATTGTGCTCGGCCAGATGTCGCCCAATCTTAGGAAGATCTCCAATATATAAAAGTTGAATTCTATGGCCGGGCATGGTGGCTCACGCCTGTAATCCCAGCACTTTGGGAGGCCGAGGCAGGCAGATCACCTGAGGTCAGGAGTTCGAGACCAGCCTGGCTAACGTGGTAAACCCCATTTCTACTAAAAATACAAAAAATTAGCTGGGTGTGGTGATGCGCATATGTAATCCCAGCTACTTGGGAGGCTGAGGCAGGAGAATTGCTTGAACCTGGGAAGCAGAGGTTGCAATGAGCCGAGATTATGCCATTGCATTCCAGCCTGTGTGACAGAGCCAGTCTGTCTTAAAAAAAAAAAAAAAATTCAAATATTCATACACAGAAAAATAAAGTATATGATTTACTATAAAATGACGAGTATAGAAAGTGAACACTTAGTATTTGTAAGAAAGATATGATAGGGAGCATTTTCCTAGAGAAGACAAACTTGAGCTAGAGCTTTAATTATTTGGATAGTAGAAGGGGAGATTGATGGGGGAAGGGAACCCATGTAAGGGAATGGCACGTGCAAAGTGAATGAGAATGCACAAATGTTCTCTAGACCATGAAATCTACTTATAGTTTGCTGTAGTATAGGCAATGGGTTGTTAATGCTTAAGTAAATATTAAGAGCCTTCTGTGTTTTTGACTACCTATATATGTTATATTATTTAATCCTCAGCAACTCTATGAAGTAGTTTTAGTCTACAAACTAGTCTGTGCTATTTCAGCCCATTCTTTACAGTCCAAGCTAATTCCTTCTAGTATACTGCTTTTATCTCTGTTAACCATTTTGTTTGCCACACCTCAGGTAGAAGAGGACAGAGATGCACGTGCTTGCTCTTTTTCTTTCTCTCTAGATATGTATCTATATGTCTGTCTCTATATATATCGATATAGTTATGTAGATACAGATGTCTATATATTTTTCCTCTTAATTATCAGCATGGTGTGGTGTTTTTAGATTTCTTATTAGTAAGGCTCCTTAATGTATGGCTGATAAAAGCCATACATCTACCTTATCATCTTAGGAAGAATGTAAAGTATGCTATATATGTAAATGACTATGGTTTTCAATTTCAATCTTTTTCTTTTAGTTGGCTGTCTGGAATTATACATATCTATAGTCCTCAGGTATGGGCTTGCTGTTTGCGATACATATTCAATTCCTCTGTTCAAGAAAGGCAAGTGATATTTTATTCTGTAGTACTTTATTTTGATATTTTCCCCCATTCATAGTTTATGGTCTCATTTAAAATTCATGTTATGCCTTAACCTTTTACAATACTTATAATAAACACGTACATTAAGAAAAAAACAAACCTTATATTAAATGAGAATAAAACAAGATTTAAAAAATGAGGTTGCAGTATACATGGAAATACCAAGGAATTCACTTGCCTAAGCACAGAACAGAAACCTTTTAGGGGTGGAAAAAAGAAAACAAACATAGAGATTATCTCCTATAGCATCCTGTTTTATAATTAAGGAGATTAACTTTCAGTGAAATGACTGCAAATGAGTTTGAATTTGTTACCTTACTGGTGTTTTATTAAGTTTCACAGTGTTGCTACTAATACACCAAGAAATATTTGAGACAAGATTTTTAATTTCCTGGCACTGAAGCCTAAGCATTGGAATTAATAGTTAGGGAAACTTTACTTTTAACCTCAACTCATTTAATTTTAGTTTGTACATGATGCCAATATTTGTCTCTTACATTCTTTGTCTATTAAATGAGAAGGTCTATTTTTATCTACCTTGGGTGGCTATAAAAGACTTCAAAAAAAAAAAAAAAAAACTATATTGAAAAGCCAATACAAGTACATGGTAATAAATTGATGTACATAAATATATACAATAAAAGTACATCTCTCTTCCACCCCATTTCCCAAACCCTGTTGTTAGAGGCAATCAATACTATGTGGTATCTTATGCTTCCTTCCTGAAATAGTCAGTACATAGACAAGTATCACCTTTTCCTGGCCTGTAAAAATTGAACCACAAATGGGAACATAGCATTCTTCCTTTTCTTTTTTTTTTTTTTTTTTTCCCTTGAAACGGAGTCTCACTCTGTCCCCCAGGCTGGCATGCAGTGGTGTGATCTCAGCTCACTGTAACCTCTGCTTCCTGGGTTCAAGTGATTCTCCTGCCTCAGCCTCCTGAGTAGCTGGGACTACATCCATGCACCACCATGCCCGGCTAATTTTTGTGTTTTTTAGTAGAGATGGGGTTTTACTATATTGGACAGGCTGATCTTGTACTCCTGACCTCATGATCCATCCTTCTCGGCCTCCCAAGGTGTTGGGATTACAGGCATCAGCCACTGCGCCCAGCCTAGCATCCTTTCTTTTCCGTATGTTGCTTGTTTCTGTATGAATTATACCTTGGAGATCATTACATGTTGGCATATATAGATTTAATGTATATATTTTACAACTGAAGAGTATATAATATTGCATTTTTAAAACTATCTCTTTAGTCTTGCAGATAGTGGTAGACTGAACATTTTATGTATACATTTTTGTGTGCATATGCTAGTGTATTTGTAGGATAAATTTCTAAAAGTGTGTTTTTTTTCTTGGCCAAAGAGTATGTAATTTTAAATTTGGTAGATATTGCCAAATTGCCCTTCAAAAAGACTGCACCAATTTATAATTTTTCCAGCAGTACATAAGAGTGCCTTTTTTCTCTACCTGCACTAACACTGTGGAAGAAATATTTATTGAGCACCTAATATCTATTATGTTCATGATGTTGGGGATGAGAGTAAACAAAATAAAGGTCCCCAGACCAGGCATGGTGTCTCACATCTGTAATTGCAGCACTTTGGGAGGCTGAGATAGGATTGTTTGAGGCCAGGTGTTCCAGGCCAGCCTGGGTACCATAGCAAGACTTTGTCTCTACAAAAAAAAAGAAAACAAAGTTAGCCGGGTATAGTGACACATGCCTGTAGTCCCAGCTATTCAGGAGGCCGATATGGGAAGATCGCTTGAACCCGAGTTCAGGCTGCAGTGAGCCATGATTGTGCCACTGCACTCCAGCCTGGCCAACACAGTGAGACCCTGCTAAAAAAAATAAAATAGGCTGGGTATGGTGGCTCACACCTGTAATCCCAACACTTTGGGAGGCTGAGGTGGGTGAATCACTTAAGGCCAGGAATTAGAGACCAGCTTGGCCAATGCGGCGAAACCCCATCTCTACTAAAAATGCAAAAATCAGCCAGGCGTGGTGGAGCACACCTGTAATCCCAGCTACTTGGGAGCCTGAGGCAAGAGAATCACTTGAATCTGGGAGGCAGAAGTTATAGTGAGCTGAGATTGCACCACTACACTCCAGCCTGGGTGACAAAAAAATAAAATAAAAGTCCTGCAGAGATAGGCAATAAACAGAATAAGTAAAATAAATAGGATGTTAAAAGGGGATAAGTACTGTGGAGAAAAATAAAGCCAGAGAGGAGGATGCTGTGTGTCTGAATGATAGTGGCAGGTAAAGAGTTGCAATTTAAATAGGTGATCAGGGAGGCAAAGACTTGAGGTGAGAGTAAGCCATGTCAGACTGTCTGGGGCACTGTCCTAGGCAAAAGATGTGTTAAGTATAAGGACCCTGGGTGAAAGATCACCTTACATCTTCAAGGAATGGCAAAGAGGCCACTGTGTGGCTAGAGAGGAGTGAAGGAAGAGGGGAGTAGCAGGAGATGAGCTCAGAGAGGTAAGTGGAGGGCTGTTGTTAAACTTTTGACCTTTGCTAATCTGATAGATGAAAAATAATCTTTTCCAGTGTTTTATAACATCATCTTCTAGGAACTGCCTAGTCATGTCTTTGGCCATTTTTCTCTTAAGTTGTGCATCTTTTCATATTGCTTTGTAAGAGCTAGTTTGTACTAGCAAGCTCTCTCTCTATGTGTAATATGCCTGTAATCCCAGCTACTTGGGAGGCTGAGGCAGGAGAATTGCTTAAATCCAGGAGGTGGAGGTTGCAGTGAGCTGAGAAGTGTTATTGCACTTCAGCCTGGGCAACAAGAGCGAAGCTCCGTCTCAAAAGAAAAAAAATACAAGGAAAAATATATATTTGTAATATATAGCAAAAGTTTCCCCCCCATATTGTCATTTAAGTTTGTTTAACAGTATTTTTCCCAGCCGGGCAAGGTAGCTCACACCTGTAATCCCAGCACTCTGGGAGGCTGAGGCGGGTGCATCACCAGGTCAGGAGTTCGAGATTAGCCCAGCCAATATGTTGAAACCCTGTCTCTACTAAAGATGCAAAAATTAGCCAGGCATGGTGGCACGCACCTGTAATCCTAGCTACTCGGGAGACTGAGGCTGGAGAATCGCTTGAGCCTGGGAGGTGGAGGTTGCAGTGAGCCAAGATTGCGCCACTGCACTCCAGCCTGGGCAACAGAGCAAGACTCTGTCTCAAAAAAAAAAAAAAAAAAGTATTTTTCCCAAATAGACTTACTGATTTTTGGTCATATTTACTAATATTTTTTCCTATCATGCTTAGAAAAGATTCACCCACTCCAAGTGTGTTTACTGAAGTAAAACAATTACTTGTATTTTCTTCAGATGCTTTTGGAGTTCTACTTTTTACATTTATTTTAACTTTTCAAGATGATTAGTTATATTTAGATAGCAGAAATTAAATGTTAGTTTTAGATTCTTTGCTATGATTTAGTAAAGTTTTATTATCAATTGCTGATGCTGCTTTAAGTTCATATCAACAGTAAAATCCTCAGTAAAATTAATTTTGAATTGCTCTCTTATTTTTTCTTTTTTAGACAGAGTCTCGCTCTGTCATCCAGGCTGGAGTGCAATGGGGCGATCTCAGCTCACTGCAACCTCCCCCTCCCAGGTTCAAGCTATTCTCCCTATCTCAGACTCCGGATTCGCTGGGATTACAGGCACCCGCCACCACGCCCGGCTAATTTTTGTATTTTTAGTAGAGATGGGGTTTCACCATGTGGCCAGGCTGGTCTGGAACTCCTGACTTCCAGTGATCTGCCCACCTCAACTCCCAAAGTGCTGGGATTACAGGCGTGAGTCACTGTGCCTGGCCCCCACATAATTTTAAAATAATGCAGTCAGGACCAAGAAAAGTCCTGTTCCCGAGGCTGGAGTGCAGTGATGTGTTCATGGCTCACTGCATCCAAACTCTTGGGTTTAATTCTCCCACCTCTGTCTCCCCATTAACTGGGACTATAGGTGTGAGCCACCAGGCCCAACTAAGTTAAAAAATTTTTTTTTTTTTTTTTTTTTTTTTTTGAAGAGGGGTCTCGCTATGTTTACCAGGCTGGTCTTAAACTCCTGGCCTCAAGCAATCCTCCCACCTTTGGCCTCCCTAAGTGGTGGGCCTCAGTTTTTGAACAAATATTGGACCTTTTAGTCTATTTTGTTAACTAGATTGGGAGACTCACGTGAAGTTATTTGAGTGTAATCATGTTATTCTCATTAAATTTTAATTAAATGGCATTTTTTTGTGCAGGGTTTTTTCAGAATCTGGAAATTTCATCATAGTTCTCTATTCTGTGACACATAAGGAGCCTGAGTTTTATGAATGCTTCCCTTGTGATGGCAAGATACCTGACTTTCGGTTTCAGTTGCTAACCAATAAGGAAACATTACATCTTTTCAAAGTAAGTGATTTGATTATCTAGTACATTAGCGACTGTTTAGGGTTTTGCACATTGGCAGTTTAAGCCCAACAACTTTTACCCTTTAAAATAGTAATCCAAACTATTATGCTTTGTTTACTTATAAATAATCTTATTAAATACTAACTTTATTCATTTGTGGTTAAATTTTTTTTTTAGTAAATCTTAGATTATGTTTTCAACCAAATTATAATGACAACCAGAGGTTACCCACAGAATAATTTGGCCATGTTTTTTTAAAATCTTTGAAGAATATGTCAGTTGTTCATATGTTCTATCATTTTATACTTTTGAAGGTTAACTTTGTGGGATCTCGATACTTTTCTTTGTCCTGACTGCCTTTTTTTTTTTTTTTTTTTTTTTTTTGCAACAGAGTCTTACTCTGTCACCTAGGCTGAAATGCAGTAGCGTGATCTTGGCTTACGGCAACCTTTGCCTCCTAGGTTCAAGTGATTCTCCAGCTTAGCTTCCTGAGGTAGCTGGGATTAACAGGCACCCACCTCCATGCCCAGCTAATTTTTTTTTTTTTTTTTTTTTTCAGTAGAGACAGAGTTTCACCATGTTGCCCACACTAGTCTCGAACTCCTGACACTTTAGGTGATCCACCTGCCTTGGCCTCCGAAAGTGCTGGGATTATAGGCATGAGCCACCGCACCTGACTGTGACTGTATTATTTTAAAAACGTGTGGGAATAACAAATGGTTTTTTATACTTAAAGTCTATTATTTATGTTATATATCTAAAGAAGCAGAATAGATTGTTACTATATCATCTAATAAAATACCTAGAAACACAACTAGATGATGATCATAGAAAAAGTAGATCTTTAGTCCAGGCATGATGGCTTACACCTGTAAACCCAGCACTTTGGGTGGCCAAGGCAGTCGGATCACCTGAGGTGGGGAGTTTGAAACCAGCCTGGCCAACATGGTGAAACCTGTCTCTACAAAAGATACAAAAATTAGCCCAGCATGGTGGCAGGCGCCTGTAATCCTAGCTACATGGGAGGCTGAGGCAGGAGAATCGCTTGAACCCAGGAGGCGGAGGTTGGGATGAGTGAGCTGAGATTGCCATTGCACTCCAGCCTGGGCAACAAGAACAAAGCTCTGTCTCAAAAAGAAAAGAAAAAGTAGACCTTTGAAACTAGATGTCATTATGTGAAAATATTCAAAGGCTGTTTTTCAGTAAAATTATTGGTTATTTTAGATCTCAGACCAATAATAAAAGTACATTCTTTTTTATATTAGAAAAATACTGAATACCTCTAAATAACCATGCCTTTCCACTCAGATCTTATTTAGTACCTTCTTGGAGATCATGTAAAGTTTATAAATTTGTATATTCTATATAAATATATTTTATATTATATATTCGTATTGTATAATATACACAATATATTTTATATATGTTATATATAAATGTTTACATATAATTACATATATTTTAATTATAAATATAATCTTAACTGAGATCTAATATTTTATTTCTGTTTTAGAGACATCATTTACTGTTTTATTTAGATGGTATTCTCAGTTCATAGTTATATTCACTGAATTTGTGATTATAATACAGGTGATTAACTTTTCTCTTTCACTTATGTAGCAGGAAAGTGGACAGTTTATAAAAGAGGGCTACAATTACAGAAATCAGAAGTTTGCCACTCCCACATCTAGTGTTTCAGAGCTACTTTTCAACTAAATAGAATTCTTTGGTGTTTTTATTTAAGTCAGATTTCAAAATATGACCTACTTCATTTCAGAATGTTGAACCTCCTGACAAAAATCCAATCTGTTGTGAATTGAGCGCTGAAAGCCAAACTGCAGAAACAGAGTTTTTCAGTAAGGCTTCCAAGAATTTTTCAATTAAGAGGTAAAAGATCTTTGTATTATTATGTGTATTTTTTTTAAATTACATTTATTAGTTTTTGGTGAGTAATTAAAATAACTCTAAGTTATTTCTTTTTTTTTTTTTTTGAGATGGAGTCTCTCTCTGTTGCCCAGGCTGGAGTGCAGTGGCACAATCTCAGCTCACTGCAACCTCTGCCCCCTGGGTTCAAGCAATTCTCCTGCCTCAGTCTCCTGAGTAGCTGGGACTACAGGCGTGCACCACCACGCCCAGCTAATTTTTTAGTATTTTAGGTAGAGATGGGGTTTCATCATGTTGGCCAGGATGGTCTTGATCTCCTGACCTCGTGATCTGCCCGCATTGGCCTCCCAAAGTGCTAGGATTACAGGCGTGAGCCACTGCGCCCTGCCAGAGTGTAAGTTATTTCTGATGAAACAGTTTTTAAATCTTATGTACCATAGGTGTCTTTGCTTTAAATGCATTCCTTCATATTTACTAGGAAGTTGGATAGTAATTTTAATGAAATAGCAATTCTGATATGGTTTTCATTTGGGCTGATGTATTATATAGGAGAAACACAGAAGTATTTGTCAAGAAGTTGTCTTGCTTAGAAAGAATCTGCTTCTTGTTTTGTTTGATGCTTTCTGTTTGTTCTTTCTTTCATTATAAGTTTCTTATTTTAATTTTTAAATTAGATATGGGGTCTCGCTTTATTGGCCAGGCCGTTTTCGAGCTCCTAAGCCTCAACTGATCCTTCTGCCTTGGCCTCCCAAAGTGCTGGGATTACATGTGTGAACCATTGTGCTTAACCCTTCCTTACAGTTTTAAATCTGGACCTGTCAGATAAACTACTATAAAAGTAACTACTAGCTGTGTATGATGGCTCACACCTGTTATCCCAGCACCTTGGGAGGTCAAGGCAGGTAGATCACCTGAGGTCAGGAGTTTGAGACCAGCCTGGCCAATATGGTGAAACCCTGTCTCTACTAAAAATACAAAAATTAGCCGGACATGTGGAGCATGCTTCTAATCCCAGGTACTTGGTAGGCTGAGGTGGGAGAATTGCTTGAACTCAGAAGGCAGAGGTTTCAGTGAGCTGAGATCCTGCTGCTGCACTGCAGCCTGGGCGATGGTGTGAGACCCTGTTTCCAAAAAAAATGTAACTCCTACCTAAAAAAAAAAATTGTTTTAAAATTTATAAAACACACTTGGAGAATATTAATTAAATAAAGGCTTGTGACTTTTTGGGTCAGTATATTCTACCTTTTGTGGTAAAGAAGATATTCCCGACCCAGCACGGTGGCTCACAGCTGCAATCCCAGCACTTTAGGAGGCCAAGTGTGTGGATCATCTGAAATCAGGAGTTCAAGACCAGCCTGGCCAACATGGTGAAACTCTGTCTCTACTAAAATTCCAAAAATTAGCCGGGCATGGTGGCATGCACCTGTAGTCCAAGCTACTAGATTGCTGAGGCTCGAGAATCACTCGAACCTTGGAGGTGGAGGTTCCTGTGAGCTGAAATCGTGCCACTGCACTCCAGCCTGAGCAACAGAGCAAGACTCTATCTGTTCCCCAAAAAAACTAAGAAATGGATTTTATTGCTCAGTGTCAACAGTTTTGTGTATATGTTCATCATAAGTACAAAACAGATATTAATTCCATGCCACAACTCAGATGTTCAAAAAATATATAACTTAAAAATATTAGTAATTGAACTTAATATCTATTTTAGGCTGGGTGTGGTGGCTTATGCATGTAATCCCAGCACTTTGGGAGGCCAAGGTGGGCGGATCACCTGAGGTCACAAGTTCGGGAACAGCCTGGCCGACATGGTGAAACCCCATCTCTACTATAAATACAAAAATTAGCTGTGCGTGGTGGCAGGCACCTGTAATCCCAACTACTCAGGAGGCTGAGGCAGGAGAATTGCTTGAACCTGGGAGGTGGAGGTTGCAGTGAGCCGAGATCGCACCATTGCACTCCAGCCTAGGGGACAAGAACGAGACTTTGTTTCAAAAAAAAAAAAAAAAAAATCTGTTTTAGGCCCCTATTTATTCTACTGGATTATAGACACCAAATTTTAGTTAATTCAAGTTGTTTCTTTATTCCCTTTTCTCTGGGGTTATGTGTAATGTAGCAGGGACTAATGGTATGTCAGTATTGGTGATATGGGGTGACATGATTCTCATCCATCTGTGCTACAGTAGTCTGTTGAGGTGCTTTCATTTGCATCTGGTCTTTGTCAGATTTGTGCAGGTTCCTGCTGCAACTTTTGACCCTATTCGGGCCACTGGCTTTCTTGTTTCCTGTCCATGTTGTACTGAGCACTTTAGAATACATTATATATCTTAAGCTGTCTTGGGTGTCAGAAAAGGTTTGTGGTACTGTTGGAGACTCATTTCTGCTTAAACATCATGCAGATGTTCTGATTGCTTCATTGTAATACCTTGTACAGGAACAACTCTGTGAGAGTCTGTCTCTTCAGACTATCAAGGTTTAGGGTAAAAGGTCTCTTCTGCTATTTGATTTTCTTTTTTTTTTTTTGAGACAGGGTTTCACCATGTTGGCCAGGCTGGTCTTGAACTCCTGACCTCAGGTAATCCACCTGTCTCGGCCTCTCAAAGTGCTGGGATTACAGGCATGAGCCACCACACCTGGCCTGCTGTTTGATTTTCAAATCTGCCTTGGAGTTTCTGTTGTTATCCCTGCTAGGGAGGATTCAACTTTCATGAAACAGAATGCAGGATGCTTTTTTAGGGATCCCATTAATTTTGAGTGCTGTTAGCTTCATTCTGGCTTTTCTTTTTGCACATACTATAGAGACTTTGTCTATTATAGGATGTGAAAAAGGCTGCTGCATATAGTATTCCATATCTTTAGTCTTAAACACTTATTTCAGCTTTTCAAACTCTGTACCAGCACTGAGAAATTTTCTGTTACTCCAGGGCATACCATCTGTGATACAATGACTATACCTGACTAAATGGGAGAGTAGTACCTTGATTTCTTAAAGTATTTACATAGGAAATATAATTCCTTATTTGGCTTTCCTTCTTAATACAGAGGGTTTGTAATACAGTGTGTTTAATATACTAAGTATATGCCTTTAATGCCAGATTATAAATTTTTTGACAGTAAGTACTATGTCTCATTCTGTATTCATCAGAGTGATCAACTAGAGGGTGCCCAGTGACTGTTGATTTGTTATGACATTAACAATACAAGGTTAAACTTGCCATGATCAGGCAAGTAGGGTAGTTTATTAAGGCTGACTAGGACAGCTTCCCTGGTCAACTAACACTGGCCTGCAAAATAAAATAATTTGTGGTTGTCAGATACTAAGTTAAATGATCTGAGTACTACTGCAACTTATTAAAGGACTTCATTCAATTTCTAGAATAAAGAACAAACACTGGATTACCAAAGGCTTTTCTGGTCTCCCTTTCTATTCTTTAGGTCTTCCCAAAAGTTATCTCCTGGAAAAATGCCAATAAATGATCATGACTCTGGTGTTGAAGATGAAGATTTTTCTCCAAGACCAATTCCTAGTCCTCATCCAGTGAGTCAGAAGGTATCACTGATTTTAAAATACATTCACTTTTGTGGTTAGAGATATAAGTCTCATCATGTTAAAACACTAGATAATACTACCTGAAACCTAAGTATCATTCTTAGATATATCTAGATATTTATATCTCTATGGATATATCTCTATATAGAGATATAAGTATCTCACAGTTACATATAATTATTCATATTATATGTAATAATATATACATGTGTGTCATATATATGTAATAAACATGTATGATTATTATTCCTAGAGTAAACTGAGGCATAGATTGGTTAAATTATCTACCCAAGATCATACAATTAGTTAGTAGTAAAGTTGGGATTCTAATTCAGGAGGTTTGGTTTTAGAATCTGATGCTAATAACCATATAGACTCAACATTATATGCTATCAATAGAGCTTGACACTGGTTTTTATCACTATATTCTGAGAAAACATTCTACTTGCTTTCAGAGGTTAATTGCCAAAATTCTTGTCACAATTTTTGGATTGCTACCAACCTGTGGGTTATTTTAGATTGTTGTTTAATTGGTGTAATTACTTATTTTAGAAGAAAAAGGAATGGGAAGGATTTTTTAAAGTTAGTGTCAAATTATAACCAAATTCATCACAGCGAGTATTTTGTTTACTCTTTTTTGCTTTCCAACTCTTAGTTGATAACAATAGAAGGAATAAGAGTGAGTGACTTCTTAGTGGATAAATATTTATTGGAAGATTTTACTATTTAAGGTACATAAGCATTTGTTACTAGGTCTGTGAAAACATTCTGCCTGTGGTAATTTCTATTTTTTGCAGAGAGAGGATTTAAAAAGTTGTATAAAACAGTTTTTCATGTTGTGTTTTGTGATCTTAGCAGTGTTAGTGTTTTAATAAAAAGAGTTCCATTATTAAATAAGTTTGGGAAGTGTTTAGTTGTATTCTTTTAGGGCAAGAACCTTGTTTATTTTGCTTAAAATTGTATTCCTAGGTTAGCACATAAAACATGCCCAGAAAATATTTGCTGATGGTCTACATAAAGAATGAACACTTGTTAATATGTAATTAGATATGATCTGGGAAATACTGGTCTGAGGAAAATAAAGGATACATTTTCTCGTAAAAAAATACTTTTTATCCTGTTTCTTTCTTATTTGTAGATTTCTAAGATCCAACCATCAGTTCCTGAACTTTCACTTGTGTTGGATGGCAATTTCATAGAATCAAACCCTTCGCCTGCTCCTTTGGAAATGGTGAATAATGAAAATTCTCCTTTGATTAACCACTCTGAACACTTGAAGCCATTGCAACCCCAGCTTTATGATGAGAAACACAGTCCAGAAGTTGAAGCTGGAGAGCCTTCCTTGAGAGGAATACCAAATCAGTTAAACCAGGATACGGCTCTTTTGAGACACTGCAAAGTAAGACAGCCACCTGCCTGCAAGAAAGTGAACCCGCATACCAGGAACAGTGTTAAACCATCTTCTCATAATGGGCCATCTCCTGATATGTTTGAAAAGCTCCAAGCAGTTGCTGCTGGAAATGTACAAAACAAAGAGTATCCTGTAAGAGCCTCCACACTTAATTCTAGGCAGTCTTCTCTTGCCCCACAGTCCCAACCACATAATTTTGGTTTTTTACCCCATAATTCAGGAAGGCCAATGGAACTTCAGATACCTACTCCTCCACCGCCATCTTACTGTTCCACAAACGTTTGCAGGTGTTGTCAACATCATAGTCATATTCAATATAGTTCACTAAATTCTTGGCAAGGAGCAAATACAGCTGGATCCATTCAAGATGTTCAGTCTGAAGCTCTTCAGAAGCATTCATTATTTCACCCAAGTGGATGTCCAGCTCTCCACTGTAATGCATTCTGTTCTTCAAGTAGTCCTATAGCCTTGAGACCTCAGGGAGCTATGGAAGGTTGTTCTCCCCATAGCAATGCAGAACCATCACCTGTGGCAAGACTACCTTCACATATGGACTCATGTAACCCACAGCCTTGCACAGTGTGTGTACACACACCCAAGACTGAGTCAGATAATGGAATGATGGGACTATCTCCAGATGCATATCGGTTCCTCACAGAACAAGACAGACAGCTGAGACTACTTCAGGCACAGGTTTGCTTGGTGCTTTCCTAGTTCTATTAAATTCTTGGTTTTAATTATGATTTCTTAAAAACTGGTACTTCTCCTCAATAGTTGTTTTATAGAATAGAATTGTAGAATGTCAGAATTAGAAGAGACCTTGGAACTGAATTCTAGGCCCTCTTTTTTTCTTTTGAGCAAGAGTCTTGCTCTGTTGCCCAGGCTGGAGTGCAATGATCTTGGCTCACTGCAACCTCCGCCTCCTGGGTTCAAGCAATTTTCCTGCCTCAGCCTCCTGAGTAGCTGGGATTACAGGCATGTGCTGCCATGCCCAGCTAATTTTTGTGTTTTTAGTAGAGACGAGGTTTTACCATGTTGGTCAGGCTGGTCTCGAACACCTGACTTCATGATCTGCCTGCCTCAGCCTCCCAAAGTGCTGGAATTACAGACATGAGCCACCGCAAGTGGCCTGATCCTCTTGTTTTACAGGTAAGTAAAATGAGGATTAGAGAGAATAATTTAACCCAATGCCACATTGCTAGTTAGTAGTAAAACCATCTTATGCATATCCTAACCTACAATAGAATTGTATTTTATTTTTTGCCTCCAATGAAGTCTGTTATGATTAACTAAACCTTTATATATAGCTAAATATAAAGTCTGGATAATGGCTTCTGCTTCATCTCTAGTTTGTCAGCCCTATATAATGCTTAGCCAGTATGCCCTTAAAGAAATAGTTAGAACCTTTCTGTATATCTATACTGGACTTATTCTACTTCTTGTATTCTGAAATGTTCCCTTTCCAGGACCTCTGTTGCGGGTTTCTTAGTCTTTTTTTTTTTTTGAGGTAGAGTCTCATTCTGTTGCCCAGGCTGGAGTGCAGTGGTATGATCTAGGCTCACTGCAACCTCTGCCTCCCAGGTTCAAGTGATTCTCCTGCCTCAGCATCCCCTAGTAGCTGGGATTACAGGCATGCACCATCATGCTGGGCTAATTTTTTGTATTTTTAGTAGAGACGAAGTTTCATCATGTTGGTCAGGCTAGTCTCTACAGAGTTCTTAGTCTTAATTATATCCTTGTGCAGAGTTTAGTCTGTAAATGTTGTCTTTTTTCTTCTTTCCTCACAGACGTCCTTCTTTCACATACCTACCCCAAACCAGCTGTTCCTCTTTTTCCCCCCAACACCAGTGGGAACAACCTGAAATGTATTTAAAAATTTTTTTCATGATCCTGTAACTATGCAAATACCTGTATAATGTGCATATATATACATATGACTTTTAAAAAAAATCTTTGTTCTATAAAATTGGAGTTACAGTGTTTGCATTTTATCAAAAAAAAGACAATGACATTTTCAAATCAGTGAAAATGCTTTGGGAACATCTGAAAAAAATTTAGCTCTGCTGTTTTTAAAACCTAGATCAATTCTTTGAAATTGTAAAATATAATTTGTTTTAATTTGTTTAATTTTTTTTTTTTTAAAGTAGAGTTCTCGGCTGGACTCGGTGGCTCACGCCTGTAATCCTAGCACTTTGGGAGGCTGAGGTGGGTAGATCACTTGAGGTCAGGAGTTCAAGACCAGCCTGGCCATCATGGTGAAACCCCATCTTTAAAAATAATAATAATATAATAATAAAGAAAAAAAATGTTATATCCTTCCTGCAGGAGATAGCTAAATAATAATAATAATAATAAACAAAAATAAAAGTTAAAAAAAAAAAAGAAAAAAAAAATAGAGAAGAAGAGTTCTCACTATATTGCCCAGACTGGTCTTGAACTCCTGGGATCAAGTGATCTTTCTGCTTTGACCTCCCAGAGTGCTAGGATTATAGGCATGAGTTACCATTCCTGGATAATGTAAAATATCAATTGGAATTTAACATTATAAACACTTACCAAAAATTTTAATATACCTAAATATTTTTACATTGAAAACAGTTATTTCTCATTTATGTCCTGATTTCCTGTCTTGTTCAAAAAAGGACTAATTAGAAAAATTATGCTATTTAGAAATCTCAGTTACTTGGAATTTGTATACTTAAAATGTAATATTATAGACCACAGGCCCTGGTCTAGATTACCTGAATCATATTTAGAAAATATTAAATATGATATAAAAAAATGCTTCTGTGTATAAAGACACGTAGTATTTTCCATATATATATATATATATATATATGAACTTAATTTTTTTTTTTTTCTGAGACAGAGTTTTGCTCTTGTTGCCCAAGCTGGAGTACAATGGCACGATCTTAGCTCACCATTCACACTTTTTTACATGAGTATCAACTTATAAATACTAATCTAAACACCTTTATGTTTTGCTTTTAAATGTATACTTAAAGGCTGAGGTGGACAGATTGCTTGAGCCCAGGAGTTCGAGGCCCGGCTGGGCAACATGGCAAAACCCGATCTTTACAAAACATATGAAAATTAGCCAGGCAGTGTAGTTCCAGCTACCCAGGAGGCTGAGGTAGGAGGATTGATTGAGTCCTTGAGTCCTTGAGGCTGCAATAAGCCATGATTACACCACTGCTCTCCAGCCTGGGTGACGAGCAAGACCCTGTCTCAAAATAAAATAAAATGAAATAAATGTAAAAGTGCTTCTTAACTAGTGAGAATTGCTTTCTAGATTGAATAAGTTTCATGGTATGGTCTAGTTGAAATGTGGGAAAATAGACTTAAAAGTCAGTTTCTTATAACTAGAGTGCTTTGTAATTCATTATTAAACTGCTGCCAGTTTTAATTACTTCCCTGTCAGTTTAAAGTATGTTTTTAATTGATACAGATTCAGCGTTTGTTGGAAGCACAGTCTCTGATGCCCTATTCCCCTAAGACAACCACTGTTGAAGACCCAGTACAAGCTGGAAGACAAATGGAGTTGGTTTCTGTGGAAGCACAGTCTTCCCCTGGCTTGCACATGAGAAAAAGTGTAAGCATTGCTGTGAGCACAGGTAATTTCAGTTTTTTTTATTTGTAAGGAAATTTTAAAAAATGCTTTTGAACTTTTATGTTCAAATTGGTGCACAGTGGAATAGGAACAAAAACCAAGGTGATGAGAGTGTGACTTAGGTTTTTGTGTAATTTTACTCTTTGTGAAATAAAACTACACTTGCAAACTACATAACATGATGTACTGTTTGGTTTT